ATAATAATAATAATAATAATAATAATAGGAAGGACTCAACAGGTGGATAAAAATGCCAAATCCAGTCTAAACACCTGGCTGACTGTGCAACAAACCAATAATAATAGTAAGGTGTATAATTAATTGACTTTTCCCCTCAATTATTCTAGTTAAACTTGCAATAAATAAACCATAATTTATTGGCAGATGATGGTAGGGACTAATTATTACATACTGCCTTCCATGAGTCAGCTCTTGGCCTTCCTAGTCTACCCAAACTGGCAGCTGTTCTCCTAGGGTTCAGGCAATTTGTACAGCTCAACACAGAGATGCCATGGATCAATCCTGGGATCTTTTGCATGCAAAGTTTATATTCTGTCATTGACTAATGTCCTCTTTCTTCAATTTGGACAGAATATTCTTCAGAATGATTAATTTTAAATAGTCCTTTTATACTGCTAATTTGTCCAACCCTAAGGCTTGGGTCCAAACTAAAATACTTGCCTTTTGATGCATTTACTGACAAAAATTACAGTATTTCCTGGTTTTGACAGTCTTGAATTTTCTTTTAGATCATTCAATAGGTCCTAAAGTAAATGCTAGTTCAAGATCAAAATCCTATGTATATCTATCTATCTGGGAGTAAGCCTAACTGAACACAGCAGAAAATTCTTTTGAATAAACTTAGGGCTGGACTGGGAAAAGGTTATTTCTTGGGGCAGCTTTTATACAACAAGGAAACAAACACAGGCAATTACATACAGAACATGTTATGACAGAATCAAATTCAGAACATAGTTCAATGAGTTAGGTACCAGCTATCAATTAATAAGAGGGTGGATTGTTCCTGGATATTTTTGCAAGATTCACCTGTGTTCCGATATAACATCTTCCACATTTTTTTTTCTTTTTAAAAGGAATTACACTGTACCTGAAATGGCACCTCAGCCTTTGCTTTGAACTCTGTAAACCTGAAAACCTTCTATCTTTTGTAGCAGCTGAAACCTAGAGGAAGGGGGGGGGAGGGGAGTCTTTCCTACATTAAAAAAACAAAAGTGACTCCCCATTAAAGTCAAGGCCTTATCTAAAGAGCAAGTGCTCCCATATCCAGCAGCACTGATCTGGATAATGAAGACTGGTGTTGTCCCTTCTCTTGAGGCACCTCCTGAATCTTCCCCAGCCTGAAGCCCTTTAGAATTGTTCTGCGGGATTACAGTTCCCACCATGCCCATAGTGGTGGGTGAAGAACAGCTTCCCAAGATCTAATTTTGCATTTCCTACCAAGCCTAACACCTGGTGGTTTAAAAGGGTGGCTGTGTTAAGAGTGCCTACCCATTTCCTCATTCCAAGGTTCAGAGTGCAGATTTGCTCCTTTCAGATAAAGTGGCTGCATGTGGGTGCCCCAGCACAGTGTTACTGTGCACCGGTTGTGGGGACAACAGAGCAGTATTTACGAGCTACCATTGCTCACGTGCAGGATTGCTTAAATTGGTAAGAATGCTGGGAGAGTTTTCATGTCACACACAGATTGTCATCAAACCCTGCCCAGGAATAAACTTGCTAAATTCAGTGCATTCAGCCTTGAGTGCCTCCCTTACTGCTGGATGGCCCCCGGGACTGTAATTCTCGCAAGTTCTACCCAACTGATTCCTTGAAATAACAAGGCTTCAGTCGCACCTCCACCATAAGCAGCTAAGGCATAAACACAGACTTTTCCAAGGCTCAGCCCAGGAATAACCCACTCCAGTTTGGTACGAAGGTGTAATAACAAAGAAACAGCAGCGCTCTTCAGGCTTGCGGAATGCCTTGCCCTACCTATTTAAAGCTGCTCTTCATTTATGGGATTAAGGGGGCACGAGGCAGAAGAAGAGCCTTCCGGGTAAACCTGACCTCTTCTCAACTTCCATCTCAGAATTAAAACTCATGACAGGAGCACGGAGCGACTCCCTTTCCTCTTCGACTCGTCCACCCCTTTCGGTTAGCGCAGCAACGTGGAGAAGCGGCGTGTGTGCGAGAGATGGAGAAGAGAGGGACCCCCGAAGGATGACATTTCCAGGAGTCACCGGGGGCAGGGGAAACAAGCGCCAGATTTCCCCTTCCGCCGCTTGCTCTTTCCTCCAAGGCTTGGACAGCAGCGCGGCTGCCAAGTGCAGAGGGTGCCTGGGTGCGGGAAGGAGGAGAGAGCCGGCTGGGCCGGCGGCGAATCCCGAGACAACAGGTTCTTGGAGATCTGCCCCCAGCGGCTCGCGGTGCCACTCTAGCGGAATCCAAGTGCGCCTGCCCCGGCTTTTTCCAGCTTCCTCTTGGTTAGGAATTTCTCACTTCGTTCCGAAGCGAAGGAGGAAACAGGTGAGCTTCCCCTCTTCATCCCGTTCTTCCGTCCCATTTAAGTCACAAAATCTACCCGCGGGGGGAGAGAAAATCCCTCTCTACGGGGAAGCGCCGGAGAAAAGGCCGGGGCAGGGCGACTAGCACGAGGAGACTAATCTCGCCTGGGAAGGCACTTACCGGCTTTGCAAGGATCCTTGTAATCTATGGCTTCAGCCTGATCCTCCTCGCTGAAATCGTAAACGTAGTCGAAATCCAAGCCGGAACAGCGGCAGCGGGAGAGTTTGTTCCAGAGGGCCACCCCAGCCAGCCACAGAGCCATCCTCCAGCAGAACATTTTCATGCTCCTCAGCGAAGAGATGGGAGAGGGAGGGAGGCGAGGCGCCGGGTGCCAGGAGCGGCTGAGCGTACGTGTGGCGGAGGGGGCTGGAGAGAAGCGGGGACTCACGGCTGGCCGCCCTGCAGTGGGGAGAACGGGGAGCGAATTTCTCGTCCGCACCGAGAGGCTTCTCTTCTCCTGGGGGGTCGGACCCGGAGCTGGGGCTTCCCCCCATGCAAATGAATCGGGAGGGTGCCGCGCGCGTGGGCGTGTGTGGGTGTGTGTGCGCGCGTGGAGGACGAAAGGGTCCGACCCTGCTCTTCTCCGAGCAGGCGAGGAGGGAAGTTGCAAAGTGGAGGGGCGCTAGCTCGCCCGCCTGCCCTCTCACAGCGCCGAGCTCCCCTCCTCGCCTCTGTCAAAGGCCAAGCAAACTTTTCTGCGTTCCCGCCACAGCCGCCGCCGGGGCTGCAGCAGCAGCAGCACGAGGCTGCCGGGGGCTTCTCTGGCCAGGGCTCGGCGACAGAGCCAGGTCGGTGCAAGAAGCCCTTCTCCCGGTCGCCCCTTGCCGAGCTTCCCGCCGTTCCCGATTTTGCTGCTGGGCGATGGAGTCGGCTGCACATCAGCAAACTGCCGAGGGGAGAGAAAGAGAAGCCCAGAGAGGCGTGGAGGGGACGACCAGGAGCACGGCAGCCCTGCAGTGATGGCAACGCGTCAGCAAAGGGGAGAGGAAGGAAAAGTGCAAAGGCTTCCCTCGTTTTTGATTTTTCTGAGTTTCCCTGCCCCCGCCAGTCCTCCTCCCCTCCCCTCCTTTTAATTAGCAAAAACGTCCAGCAGAATCTTCGCCGTCAGCATCCTGCTTACTTATTCCGACCAGCAGGGCCGGGATCCGGGCTGCTTCTGATCTGCTGCTCTGATAGCCTTAGGAAAACATGCGCGCCTGTCCGGTGTGCCCCGCTCGCCATACAGCTGCTGTCTGTCGAGATAAGCGGAGCGGAGCAGAACTTCACGGAGCAGACGGTGACCGGAGCGGGGGAGGAATCAGCCGCGGCGTGATTGCTTCGCAGTGGCCCCCGAGGTCGCCCGAATCCGGAAACAGAGAGATGGAAAGGAGGTTCGGCGAGGGTGACAATAACGGTGATGAGGAATAATTGCAGCGCTTTTCCCCGTCTCTGCCTCTTTCGCTTTCCGCTGCCAGCGTGCAAGGCGCGAGAAAGGGAAGGAAAGTTGCTTTTGTTTTGTTTTTTTTAAGGCGTCCACCCGTTAGTTGAACGGGATATAAGACGACCATTGATCGGCAGAGTTCAGCCAAGGAAAGCAGTTTCAGCTGTAGGCTTAAAAAAAAAAGTCACGCGAAAGCAAGCGTAGAATTAGGAGAGCTAAAGAATAGTGTTAAACAAAGCAGGTTGTGCATCAGCAGCAAACAGTAGCAATAATTCTTGCAGGCGGCTCGGCCCTGGCTTTCCAGCGGATGCAAAAGGTTAGCGGGGTTTTCAGAAGCAAAGTTTCCGTCGTAGCTTCATCTCCTTCCCTCCCTTGCTTGGAAGTGCGTGCTGTACAGTGGGTCGCAGCGATCAGTCTCCAAACGTAGGCAGCGTGAGGGCTGGATTTGTTTTCTAAGCCAGTCAGACGAATCAGCGAGTTTAAAATCTGACTTCAGCCGAGCAGCCTGAAAAAATAAAACGGGGAGCTGGACTAAGAAAATACAACACGGAGATAGATCCCAAAGGGGGCGAGGAGGGGGAGTAAAATACTTCATTTTATGCCTAAGGTATATAAGGCACTATGCTTGTATTTAGAATGGGAGCCATGCCAAACTGTCACAAGCTCATGGGTTTATTGTAAAAAACAGACAGACTTTCCTGGTCTTCATATACAAAAAAGGGAGGGGGAGGGAGACTCTAGTGAACTGGATTTTTCCAAGTGCTCGTGTTAAGATGTAACACCTAACTGGGCGATGCAAAGGAAGAGGTTCTGTTACCTTCCTATAAGCTGGGATGCTAACAGGTTGCTTATAGTTGCAAAAACAGTATCTTTATGGCTATAGCCATAACAAACAACTAAGTAGACGTTTACAGGTTTCCTCCGCTCCCTGCAAGATATTCAAGACAAAAAAGCATGCAACCTTTCAGATCAAGACTTGGGATGTGATCCGGTGTCACTAACCCCTGAATTTCCTTCCAGAGGTTAATGTATACATGTGGGTTCCTCATCACATCTACAATGAAACTGCTTCATCATCACATCTGCAGGCATAAATGCTGCTGACTATAGGGCCCTGAAAGGATGGTGAACGTTTGAGGAAAAGAATACCCAGGCACAGCAGGAGGTTGGTCGATGGGATGATTTAAAACAAACATCTGAGAAACGGCATTTTGTCCACAGGATTTATTAAATACTCTTATATGTTTTACTAGCCTTAATGCTTAAAGCGGTCCAGCGTTGTATGTATGCTGTCCTGCTGAAAACCTCTTTTTCCATTCAAAGCTGCTCTTGTCTGTGGAAAGACTGTTTACCACCACAACATAATGTTGTGCTGGTGCAAAATATTACTGGAAACCAAGCAAATAGATCAGAGTATCAAAAGATGGCTTTCTTTAAAATCCTCTACATGTGCTTTATTTTACGGATGCTGTACAATAAACCAAGGCTGGGCCATGATACTTTTCTGCTGGAGGCAAAGGACAAAAATAGTGTCTTCTCATATTCCATGTAGAGAAGCAATCCAAGGTGACACTTCAAAATGTGCAGAATAGTGTTTTCCTTTACACTTGTGAACAGCAGGATAATTCAGAAAGCTTGAGGCAGCTCTGCCCTTCGGTATCTTGCTACTGCTTCAGTAACTCTGTAGTCTTCCCTGTAAATAACCAAGAGATTTACTTCAGAAGCTCCCAGAACTCTAGTTACCTTTAAATTTGGTGCCATATGCCCAGATATTTGGGGGGGGGGGAGTTTTTTAAGAAAAGGAAGTTGGCAAAATTGTGATTTTGAACCCTTGGACAAAATCAGCAGATCTTAAACTACTCCCAAATGGTGTCATAGCTCCAAAAAATTACCAAGACCAACATGATAAAGGTGGGATAAAAAAAAATCTAAATCTAAATGATACAAATATTACCTAAGAGTTTTTAACACAGTGTAGTGCAATAATTATCCTCCACATTAAGAATGGAATATAAGATGCAGTAGAAGGCTCATTTCGTCCATAGTATATGGTAATAAGCACATTTTCCCAACATCTGACAGGATACTTGCTTCATTCAAAAAAATAACCCAGTAAAAATTCAACCAATCAAACCAGATCTTGCATAAGTCTGTTTGAACAAAAGCATTCAAATCTCACAAAGGTATTCAATTGCCCTGGTCACAAATATAAAATATACCTTGTTCTGGGTCTAGAAACTATCCTATGATGGAATCAGACATGAGGTAAGAGGATCTTAATGATTGGCTATTCCCAAATGGTGTCATAGCTTCAGAAGAAAAGTATGCAATCTCAAGTCTCCCAGTCTTCCTAAGTAAGTCCAGAATTAAATATATCCTCCCTGCAGGAGATTAATTATTCCAGCAAGTTACACACGTCACCTCTTAACCTCCAGATGGCAATCTGCCCCTGACCTCAGGTTAACTAATGGAGGCAGAGCAACAGTGGCTAGCAATAGACTTGAGGACAATTGGCCTTGAAGACCCTTGAGAAAGCTATAAAAAAGACCCAGATATGTCTGTGCCAAGATATCGAAACAAGGCAGCTCAGCCTGCCCGATGGAAAGATGTGATAAGACAAAGAAGCAGCAGTTATAATGTTAGTAACTAAGAAAAATCTATACCTCCAATTTGCAGTTTCTAGTAAATGATGAAAACCAGAACAATTCCATGATTCATGTTTTTGCAAGCTGTTTAATTTACCAGCCATTTTTGAATCAAGGTGTTTTTTTCTCCCAAATCACACATAAATGTCTAATACCAGCCTACTCATAACTTTGATAATCCATCTGTCAACATACACAAAGTCTGTCCATGCAATCCTTTCCAAGTACCTAACAAAAGCACAGAGACAGGCTGCCTAATTGGAGAGACGCTCACTGCATATTCCTGTTTATCCAAAGGTTTGTGAGGCTGCTGCATATATCGGGGGAAAAAAAATCTTAAGACAACTCAAAGAAATAATAGGCAATGGCCATTTCATTCATTTTATTTCAAGGTAGTTTCCTTTGCCAGCCATTGGAAAGAAGAGATTTCTCTTTATCTTGATTATTTAATGTTGTCAGATAGAGTGATCCCTTCTCCTCGCTGCCAGGACTGTTAGAAGAAGCAAATATTTTGATGAAAAATATTTCATGGCATGCATGCAGTCTGGTCCTTTAAATTAAGATGCATCTATATTCTCCAATTATTCAATTGGCTATTTCTTTTAACTCACATCCTCATGTGATAGCATTCGCCAGTAGTGAACCAGTTATAATTAGAGTATTTTTTTTAAAATATACATTTTATTCAAGGGGAGAAAGAATTAATTGAGTCTAGTACATATCCAGTCCTTTCAGTCCTATTCATGTAGTTTTCCCTTGATTTGACTCAGAATATATATTTCAATGGCTTGAAGAACACACATCTCCTCTGTCCCAAATGACTTTATTTCTACTTTCTCTCCTCAGGATATTTCCTAGTCAATCTTGTTGTTGTTGTTCACAACCTTAACAATAACATTACCCAAGTTATCACTTAACTCCAGATGTGAGCTGCAACTCCCATCATTCAGATCAGCATGAATTCAATGAAACTTCCTCCCATATAAACCTTTATAAACTCCAGGTTAAATGCTTATAATATTAATCCTAAACTTAATCTAAATAATAATCCCTCAGTTCCCAGAGGAAAATACTACATGTACAAGAAAATATTTGGATGTGGAAAACAGACCAACCCCACCACCCTAAAAAATTTAAATATGTGCTTTTTCATGCTATAGTAGCCTTTTCTAGCTTGTTATGGGATTGGCATGGGGGAGACCCAAGTGTCAGTCCACTCTTAGCCATGGAAACTCATTGGGTGAGTTTGGGCCATTTATTCATAGCCCAACCTGCTTTATAGAGTTGTGATGAAGGAAGGAAGGAAATTTATATTGTCCTACTATCATTAAATTCATTAATGCTTCAGATAAAACAAAGAGACAAACCCAAAGTAATTCTTATATCTGCAGAAGATATGTCAGTAGGAGACTTCAGGGTTATATTCTTGCTGTTTCCTTTACTTTGTTATTCCC